CCTTACTACAACTGCAAGACATATACACAAACATTAAAGACAATACACCTATTAAAAAAAGAAAAGATGTGGTATACAAAATAAACTGTTTGAACTGTGAGTCATCTTATATTGGGCAAACATGCCAAAATTTAGAAAAAAGATTAAGACAGCACGAATTACAAAGCAAACAAAGTAAGAATAATAACATTCAACAAAAAAGTACACTTGTAGACCACGCTATCTCTAACAGCCATAGTTTCGATTTCAATAATCCACTCATTTTATATTATGAACAAGATTTATTTAAAAGAAGTATTGCAGAATCGATGTTAATAGCCCATACAAGTAACACAGTAAATTTACGGACAGATACCAATATATTACATGATACATACCTGAATCTCATTCATACTTTGTAGCTTATATATAGATGTACATACACTTTTAATTACAACAATGTATAACAAATCTTATAAACAAACCATCTCATCATAGAATATTTTTTCTCCTAACGACATCTATTTTTCAACTGGACCCTAATCCTTTTTTTTTCCTATCTGATTGAGTGACTTTACAATTTCAAGTGGTTTCAAGTAGGAGAGAATACGAATACCGAAGACATTGGTATTAAAAGAACAACGTGCAGTGAACGACGTGTAATGAAAAACACAACATGCTAATTTAGATTTCCATATTTTAAAATTTTTTTAATTATAACACACTGATGATGAGACAAACCTAGTCTCGAAACGTTTGTGAAAATTATTATTTAATGAATTAGTGCAAAAAGAGTGTTGTTTGTTCATATTTCCAAATTAATATCTATTATCCACTCAGAATACATTTGTAATATATATATATATATGTTAAAGTAGTTAATTTTGATGTTGAGAAATATGAGTAAGTTCTTCAAGGGCATACATCAAATAAAAGGCAAAGATTTAGAAGTTAATCTTTAATTTTTCCAAACGTTTCGACATAGTATTTTATGTCATCATCAGTGGATATAAATATGGTCTTACATCAGTAGCTAGCGCAAGGAACACAATTTTGCACTATCATATATACATTAACTTGTTTTTTTTATATTAATTTGTTGAACAGAGTATAGCAAAATATTTGTGAAATATATAAAGGTGCGTCCACACCTAACGAACGAACACGAACGAACATGTCGAACAAGAAAATACAAAATAGAACGAACAGGAACACGAACGAACGCAAAAAATTCCAAACAAACGACTCAAAGCAGTGAGGGTTTGAATCTTTTTGTTCGAGGATGTACCGTGAAACGTCAGACTTATTATTTAAAGTGGCGGGAAAGAGAAAAATTATTTAAAGTCATCAAATTTACAAAATTTGTCAATAACAGCAATATCTTATAATAAATACAACATAAATTAATGCATTAATGCACATTTTAACACCAAAAAAAAAAAGTTTGTCTACATTCGTGGTAGCGTCCACACTGCACATACGAGTTCAAACATGAACGAACAATTCCCTTTGATGTACCGACAAGTTGCGGAACATTGCTCGCCATGTTTGTTTATGTTTGTTCGTGATCGTCGTGGCGTCCACACTATGCTGTTGCCGTTCGTTCTGGTACGTTCTTTTATGTTCGTTCGTGTTCGTTCGTTAGGTGTGGACGCACCTTAATATATTTTGCACAAAGAACGTAGTTTATGTGACAGAGCCCGAGGCTGATATATTAAATTGAATAGATTGGGAACATTTATACTTATTTATCTACGCATATGATTGCTTTTGTCATATGTAATTTGACTTTTAAATCTTATCCAAACTTAAGAAAAACTAAGCAAGATAATGAAATGAATGTTTCATGGAATTCATGCAGAAAAATAGTTTCCATTTATAATTTTTATTGAAAATTATTAAAATCCGAAAGACCATCAGTAAATCATCGGAAACCGTTAGCAGTAATGCAAATTTGAAACAAAAAAATAACAGTCTTTATTATCTATGATAATAGTATGGCATTGCACCGCAAAATATGTAAGTAAGGTACCTTACTTAGACGTCTATGTGAGTCCGTCATATACAAGTGAAGTTCTTGCTTTTCTTCCCCTTTAACAACTCTGTACATCCATTATTTATTATAAATTAACTCTATACTAATTGAAAAATTTATTTGTTTATTTTCTTTAAAACTTTTTTCTGTGCCGTATTTAAACTACACACATTATATATAACTACCCTCAATAAACCAAATAGTTTTAAATGTTTGAATTGTTGATTGGCTAGAACAGAGGTCGGCAAAGTGGCGCCCCCGATCAACTTTAGATGCGCCCTCGGTTAATGTAAATGTATGATAACCTTAGCATAAATCAATTTCACATTTTCCAAATATAAGACATATTGTTGAAAGTCTAAAAATAAATATAGAAAATTTTACAACTACATCATATTTAGAATTTATAGACAAATTGGCAGAAGAGTTTTGTTCAAGATTTCAAGGTTTCGCAGCACTAGAACTCGTTCTAGGTTTTTTTATAAACCCATTTATAGTTGCCGAAGATGATCATCTTCTGCAAAGTGTTTCAGTGTATTTTGAAAATAGTAATGTCGAAGATGTGGAATTAGAAATAATAAACTTGCAAAATGATATTATTTTAAAAGCACATAGTATAATGATAAAATGTTTTGGAAGTCGATGAAAATAAGTATCCTATTTTAAGGAAATGTGCGCTAAAAATTTACTGATTGTGCAACAACATACAACTGCGAGTCTTTGTTTTCAAATATGAAATATTTGAAATCAAAATACCGAACAAAGTTAAATGGCACACATTTAGATAACGTTTGCGAACAGGGAAACTCTCATTATATTCCCGATTATAAAAAAATAGCTGAAAATACGGACACACAAGTTCCACACTAAATTATATGTATATAATTAAGTATTATTAAATCATACTCTTCTTTTATCGATGTACTGAATTTTCGTAATGTATATATATATATATTGTATACTTAGAGAACAAAGTTATGAAAAATCTTTTTTTTTCATACCGATGCGCCCTCGGTAATTTTCAGATTGCGCCCTTAACGGCAATCAGGTTGCCGACCAAATAACTTTGTTTAACCAAATAACCAAATAACTTTGTTCTTTTTGTCCCACTAAATTACGGTCTCGACCTAGATCGAAACGTATATATAAATAAAAATCTAATTCATATTAATAAAGATTTAATTCTAATTCATAATTTACGTTACATTAAACGTAAATTAGTTACGTTACGTTAAATTACTTTCTAATAATCCTGGTGGATAAAGTAATCAAAAAGCATATAAAATACATCGAGGCGATTCGAGGATTGCTCATAATCAAATTCGTGTTTTCTTTCGTTGTCGCATTCCGAAACTATTTTTAAAAAATTTTAGTTTTCAATCTAAACATTTTAGGGCATTCAAAAATTTTAGCGAATTTAGTATATTGTTTTCAAAAATATTTTTAAATTATCAATTATTTATAACGGGTGTGTAATATTTAATTTTTGGGTTTTGAAACATTTTCATATTTATTTTGGCAATTTATATATATATATATATATATATATATATATAATACATATATACATATATTAATTTGAACAAATATCGATATTTGATATCTGTACTAGTTGATAATTGACTAAGCTGATGAATGATAATTTGATGCAGCAATACCCGGGTAGGTCTATTTTGGTTACTAATCAAGTCAATTGGTATTTGTTTTTCTGAATTAAAAAAAAAATCCTGAAGAAAACATATATATTTGTGAAGCAGCAACACCAAATTCAGTTGTGATATGATTTGCAAGTTCATATTTGTTCAATTAAAACTTTCGAATTGATTCGGATCAGGGTTTTTTATTCGATTCGTTCCGATCAGGGTTTTTTATTCGATTCGTTCGAACCAAGAAATGTATGAATCGGCCCATTACCATATCTTTTTATAGTAGACCAAGTATAGAACACTGCGGAGCACAGCCTCCACAGATCAATGGGACCCATGTGTTCATTATTACCATAATTAACTTCCCGTAGGGTAAGTTACCGTAATAGCAAACAAAAGAAATATTTTTTTTATATATCTTTACGTTTTAAAGGTTTCTGAACATTTTGGCATAATTTAAAAAATATATATGGATGCAAGATTAAATTTTTCGCCAAAGATTTTGAGAACACGGATCAACCGATTTGAATGATTCAAAAAACATTCGATTTCAGTTTTTGGCAAAGGCAGGTCCAGCCGTTTCATAGATATGAGGCAAAAATGGTAATTCAGTTTTTGAGAGAATGAAGCACCCGATTTGAATAATTTGAAAAACATTTTACTTGTATTGATTAAATGATTTTGCTCCAGCAGTTTTATAAAGATGTAATGAAAAAAGTAAAAAAAAAAATTCATTTGGCCAATTTTCAATTTTTTCCAAAAATTCCATTGTTTTCTACTTGTAAAAGTAAATATCATGAATAGGGTTTTCAAGATTTTATCCAATATAAATATTAACACACCATCAATATTACAATTATATCTCCACCACTTTCATTTCAAAGAAAATTCACAGAACAATTAATTAATGAGAATAAAACAAAAAATAACAAATATAATGAAAAACTAAAATTAGATGAAGAAAAAAAGGAAGAAAAATTAAGATATAAAATAAACAGCTATATGAACACATTAAACAAGAATAATAACTAATTTCTTTTAAGTTTTACACAAAAAATGTATAATAAAGTTTTCTAGTCATCCATCCAAATATTAATAAAAATCAAAATTAATTTAAAAATTTAATCTTTTTCAGTGAGATACATAAAAATAATTTAATTCAAACACAACAAAAACAAACAATTATTGAGTATAAAACATAAAATATCAAAAACAGTCATGTTGAACACCAATAAACTTGTTTTACATTTGTTTCTTAATGAACCCAATCAATAAAAATACATTATTAATTAAAGTAAAAATTAAAAGAAATCATAGCATTTAAAACCAGTTTATTAATTTTAATAACCAATAACTTCTGTGCATCTTTGCATCCATTTAGTCATATTTTGTGTAACTTCATTAGAATTCTTTAGCTGTTTTATTGTACTACAAACTGCAACATCCGCTAATGACAATTGCTCTGTGTTACAAATCCAAATATTTTTTCCTAATTTGCTATTAAGAAACCGTAAACATGCTTGATGTTCTTTCTGCGTTTTTGCCCTGGACAGTTTATAGCAAACATCTAAAATAGTATTTGTTTCATGATCTGAAGCAGTTGCAGTAATACCAGGTGCTACATAATTAAGATAGCGTAAAATATTAACTTCTCCTCTAATTGAAGATACCATCGCTGATCCAATGACTAACTCAGGACCAAAAGTAACTATAAATTAAAAAAATATAAATATTAAATACTCTAGAAGTATTAAATAATTTTTCATATTGAGATGCTGAACCTTCAAGCCCTTAGCTGATAATTATTTTAATTTATAAAGCAAAACAAAAAAAAGAATTGTTCAATCAGTTTCAAATATTAAAATTAGAAACTATACCACTGACCAAAACATTATAAACCACTGCTCATGTGTTAAATGCCATTTGTTAATTATGCTATTCAACGGGTCAGGTTTAGTATAAACATTTATTGGTTAAAAAAATATTTTAAAATAATTTGATGTTGTTAATAATAAACTTTTCTAAAACATTATCTAAAACAATAAAGATAAAAGTTTAGTTTCATAATTCTTTCAAATCATAGAAAGCAACCGTTAACTATAAAAAAAGAAATAAAAGTTCAGCATTTTCTCAAATTTACATAAAAATATTATGCTAAATACCATCCTTCCAGATTAAAGTGACGCTCAAAATATGTTTTACATTAAAAATTGGCTGAGTTATTTGTTGAATAAACTCTTCAGCTTCAGGTGATAAAGATAAAACACTTGAATGAACATAAGATTTAACTTCAAATCCAATTTCTTTTTCCTTCCAAAGTTTCTGAATAGCAAAAAGGGAATAAGGTATTTGCAAAGGATTACAAAAGATTACTATCGGAGTTGAATCTTCAATCTACAAAATGAAAAATTATATTAGAAATATATAAATATAAAAATTTTAGTATTTAAATAAGATAATAAAAGATCATAATGGTACAATCAAACTAGATGTTATGACTTCTGTTACCTTCATTGGTGAAGACAATTTATTATTTAGGTTATATTCTTTAAGTAAATTTTCTTTCATGGATAACATTTCTAGCTTCAAAACTGCTAATTTCTTCAAAATCTCTAGTTGATGTTCTTCAAGCTTATGCATGTCTAATACTTGCCTCTAAAAGTAAAAAATAAATCAATGAAAGAGATTTGATTGTGACATTTAAGGCTAAGCTAAAAAATAAAAGTGCAAATTTTCATTATTTGTTAAGTATATGACAGGAAGAAATTAAATACATTCATGGCTGACATATTAGTCATTGGTCTTACAATCTATCAAACCTAGAATTGAAAAAATGTGTGTTTTTGCATTAAATATTATAATTAAAATTACGAAAAATTATAAATATATTGAGATTCGACTATCATGGAAAGTACATTGAATGAATATCATCTAATAGTGTTTAACCTTTAATATTATGTTAACCTGTTGAGACACGTTGTTGCAATTCTGTGTTAAGTGTTGATCCAAGCCTTTTAAGTGGGTGCTTTCATGATGTATGTTATTAACTTTATACATGCAGTTTGGCAAAATTATATCTTTTTCGTAAGTAATAATGGGGCTTACGGAATACATCGTGCTTCGTTCGACTTTTCAATTTCTCGGAAGATTATTTTTAATATCAATCCCGATCGTAAAAAGTTTACAAAATGGTGCTGACAGAATGTCAAACCACAGCATATTGCAGATGTCAATTTCGCACGCTGCTGTTATAATTTTATAGTTGTCTTGAAGATATATTAATTCAAGTGAAAATAGAAAAAAAATGTAGTAACAATATTTAAAGAATTCTGATTTGATTATCCAAGTTCCAAATAATATTCCAAGTAACAGACAAGTAATGATATTTAAAATTCCCGCCTGGTAGTTTTCGATTTTTTTAATAAAAAATCATCGCCAAGTTTATAGAAATGAAGAAATTGAAGCAATTTATGAAGGAAATTCAATTAGGATGTGCTAATGAAAAATAATTTTAAGGAATATTGAAAATTTTGCTTGCTCGATTTTTTTCTCTTATAACAAATGTGTGTGACATGGCTTTATAGCTCAACATTGGTCATACTGTTTCGATAAATATGAGTGTTTGTTTTAAACAAGTTATTATAAATAATAGTGTTTTAATAATTATTAATAATGACTGACTTTGCGGACAAATGAATTGTCGAAAATTTGTGTAAAGTGCTTATAAATCAACGATCGAGATTTGTCACAACAGAATGCTGTCATGGCGGCAATGAGTTCGACCAATCAGGAGCCGCGTTTCTTATGTCTCGATATGTTCTAATTTCACACTACGTTTTCGCGTCAGTGAAATTGCTTGTGCGTTTTTTAAATGTTTTGGTATTAATATTAATAAATGATACTTTTTATAAAAGGTTTTTTGATTTGTATTTATTAGACAATAAAGCATAATGCATATGTAAATTCGTTATGCATATACCGGAGCGTTCTTACATGATTGAGCTTGCAATTGCAATGGCGCAAAGTCGAGGCGATTAAAACATGGATTCACTTTCAATTGATTTGTGTCATTATTTGTATACAAGTGTGTTATTGTTTGACATGTGCTAAGAAGGTATTTGGTGACAGTTGGAGTTTAGCAAAATGACAGGAAGGGGAGCAAAGAAAAGAGGGCGGCCTCCGAAGGTTGTAGTTCAAGAAAGGCAAAAGAAATTTCAGTATCACTTATTGAAAAAACCAAAATATTTATTGAATCAAAATAAAGCTTCTGATTCGACTGCGAGTACGCCTTCGGCGTCTAGGGCTTCATCGCCTCAGGGAAGCGATGGAAGTAGACGCAGTGGGGCGCGAACAAGGGGGCAACGAAAAGCAAACAGACGTGGTGGATTGAGCGGTTCAGCATACCAGAGAAGAGGTTATAATCCTAATGTAACTGATTTTTTGGAATCTGAATATCATTATGGATCAGATTTTGGCGATGAATCGAGTGAAAAAAGCGATCTGGAGGAGGAGCAGCTAGGAATCCATTCTGATACAGATGATAGTCTAGGTGGAGATGCAAGTAGTGATAGTGATTTTTCTATAAATAGTTACAGTAATTTAAGTGGCACACCTAGAAGAACTATAAGTCTTATTCGACCACCAAGCCCTGAACCCTTATGGCTACAGAACAGAGAATTACCTCCATTAAAGTTACCCAGTTCATCAGAAGATTTACTTGTTAGTTCAGACTTAATAATGCCAGCTGTAAGTATATATGAAGTTTTGCGCCACTTTCGTCAATTAGTTCGTCTCTCACCATTTCGGCTGGAGGATTTTTGTGCTTCGTTAACCTGTGAAGAACAGAGTGCATTGTTGACGGAAGTTCACATAATGTTAATTAAAGCATTATTGCGAGAAGAAGAAGTGCAACAAACTCATTTTGGTCCTCTTGACCAAAAAGACAGTATAAATATAACATTATATTTAATTGATAATGTGACTTGGCCAGAAGTTCTCCGAGTGTATGTTGAAAGTGATAAGTTTTTTGATGCAAAGGTTTTAAATATTCTAGAATCCTGTGAATATCCATATACATCAGTGGAAAACAGAATAAAAGTTTTACAATTTTTAACTGACCAGTTTTTGATTACTAATCCAGTTAGAGAAGATTTGATGAGTGAAGGTATTTCAATATTAGCTTTATCATTCTATTCTGTTTGTAACAAATTGTAGGCAGTAATAAATTTAGTCTCTTTGATTCAAATCTACAGAATTTTAGTGCAGGTATCACTTATGGATTTAGTCTAAGACATTTGAATTTTTATTGTACAGATTATATTCAATAAATTTTAATAATCTAGTTAATTATAAATAACTAGAGAATTATGCAAACTGGTAATCAACACAAACTAATCATGATCAATTGACAACCACATGCTGAAACATGCATCCTTAACATTTAAATGTCGATTTACTGATACCAAAAGTTTTTATTTGCTTATAATTTTAATCTAGCACTTGTAATTTGATGATACCTATTTTATAATTCTTCAGGATGTTTACAAATTTAATAACAAAAATTAAGTTCAGAGTTTTTACATCATAAAAATATTGGCCTAAAACAACTATATAGCATAAATATATATAGCATAAAACAACTATATTGCTCTGACATCTAATATATATATAAATTATGTAAAGGTCCTGTACATTATGATGATCATTGTCGAATTTGCTTTCGCTTGGGTGACCTTCTCTGCTGTGAGACATGCCCTGCAGTGTTTCATTTGGAATGTGTCGATCCACCTTTGGAAGATGTTCCAACAGAAGACTGGCAGTGTGTTATTTGTAAATCGCATAAGCTATCAGGAGTTGTCGATTGCATTTCCCAAATTGAGAAACAAGGATTACTATGTCGACAGGAGCATCTTGGTTTTGACAGACATGGAAGAAAATATTGGTTTCTGGACAGGAGAATATTTGTGTGAGAAAATATGAAAAACATTCTTATCTTTTATTACTTATTTAGGATGTGATAGTTTGATTTTGTTTCTCATATATAAACTTTTTTTTTGTATCATGAATTTTTGTTATCAGCAGTATACTTCTATGATTATAAAATTTAGCTGATTTTTTGTGGCAAATGTGAAGAAACCTGAACTAACCAAAAAATTAAAATAAATCATTATACCTTGATAATAAAATTGCAAGTACTAGACTAAATATTTGTTATGTTTAAATAGAGGTTATTAGCACTTTAATTAGATCCTATAGGTTTTATTCATTTTGCTAAGATATTCATAAATAAATGTTTATATATAAATACATAAAGTAGTGGAAATCTGAATTATTTTGTATTATGTCTTACATATAAAACCATATCAGAATATTTCACTATTTGGCGCCATAAAATCATAGTTTCAATATAATTATTGCTATTAAAATGTGCATACATATATTTTTTTTGAAGATTAAATTTAACATAAAATAATATTTTTATAATACTTTTCAAATTAGGGAAAGTGAAGATGGAAGTGAAGTTTGGTATTATAGTACTGTGCCCCAACTTGAAGAACTCTTGTCTGTATTGGATAAAAGAGAATTTGAAGTAGCTCTTTGCAGAGAATTGGCTGATTTTAAAGAAGAAATTGTTCGGCAAATGGAACTTACAGAATCACTTACAAATCAGTTGAAAGGGAATAAAAAGTCATATTTTGAAATTGAAAATGGTCAGTTAATTCAATTATAATTTATATATTTCAACTATTACCATATATATATAATCTTTGTGTATCATTGTTTTAGCTAATATTCTAAAATTGCAAAAAGATCGCCAAGAAATTTCTAAAATTGGGGATGAATCATTAGGTACAATTCACTAAAGTCCTTAGCTGCTACTATGGATGTAACAGAAACTCATTTTGTTTGACATCATAGTTTTTGTTTTGTTCATATTTTACCATATTATTTTTTCTTCAATGCCTATGATGATTTTGTTGTTTACATTTTTTTTATTTAATCCTTATTGCACTAGCTCAAATGATAAGTATTTTATATGCATTTCAGTTTTAGTAATTTAATATTTCAATATTAGTTTCTATTGAGATATAATTATATAATATTCTTACTTAATGTATTGCTAAATTATAAAAATATGTTACATCTGTGGTTAATATAGTATAGTATAATATTTTATCACATAATAATTAGACAATTGATTTAATATATCTCACAATTCAGATGACAAGTCTAACTCTACTGAAGTTGAACCAGGAAGCAGTCTTTGTAATGATGTTGATAATTGCACAATGACTCAGATGTCAACGGTAACAACTACCACAGTTACAACTACTACTGGTAATTTGAAATTCAATATCAAAAGTATACTCTAGTTACAAATTTATTAATTATTTTTCTCAATTCATAGTGACTGAAACTACCAGAGTTACTCGTCAGAAATTAATGCAAATTAATAATGGAACTCAATATTTTAAACTTGGTTTGGAAAACTCATACAAGTCGTATGTTAATCAATTTACATCAAATGTAATTGCTCTCAATAAACCACAAAGAAATGAGGATCGAGATAAAAAAAGATATTTATCACATAAGTTTTCTTTAACTCCAGCATCAGAGTTCAAGTGGATTGGCACAATGAATGGTATACTTTAATTTGAATGCAATTATATACATCAAATTAACTTCTAACATGCATGCTATTTTAGGTACACAAACTTACTTGATAAATACTCTTCGCCAAACACTACTTGCCCTTGAAAATTCAATTCAGTCAGCATTTATGCATCCAAATTGGAGTTTGCTGCGCAAGAGTTGGCTAACTGCTGTTGGCGCTTGCACCAAGCCTTCAGATTTTTCTAAAGCTATGATTATTCTACAAGTTTGTTGCTATGCTAAGAAATAATTTATAATTTTATACACAACTTTAATTTTTTTATTTTCTATTTTATTTTTAGGCTTGCATTAAATCTGTTGTTTTTGCTAATGTTTGGCATGATCAACTAGGTCATGTAAAATTACATAGAATTACAGCAGTTGAAAGAGAAGAGAAGAAAAAGTTGGACAAACGAGAAAAACGTGAAAAAGATGATGAAGAAGAACGCAATAAACTCACATATAATTTTGTGAAATACACTTTAGGTTTGAAGCATCAGGTAATGAGATAAAATCATTATTTGCGAATGTTTCAAAACGGTTATGTAAATAGTTTCAAAATTTCTGTTACAGGTGTGGAAACAAAAAGGTGAAGAATACAGAATACATGGAATTTGGGGATGGTTATGGTTATCAAGTGCTAGAAAATTTAAATCAGTCAAGTCAAGTCGTGCATTGTGCTTTGGTCCTCACCAAATAATGTTGAAAATTGAAGATAAAGAAGCAGCTAAAATTTTATGTTTAGATACCAAATCTTATGAATATTTGAAATCAAGAAATACTAGTGAAAATGATCATAATTGTAAGTTATTTTCAAGCAAATTACGTAATATGTTTTATTGTAATGTTTAAACATTTTTATTGCACATTTTAGTACCCGAAGAATTGAAAAATGTAAAATTTTTACCGATATCTGCCTCACGTTTTGAAGAAATAGATGTTTGCAAAGCTTTAACATCACCTGGTAGAGTTTTGTACCCAAAAATAGCGCATGCGAGTAAGTTGGATGATTTTTTGGCAAGGCGTATTCAGTTGAAGGTGAATGAAGAAAAGGCTTGTACTCTCAAAGCTAAAGAAATAGGTGCTGATAATGATGAAAGGACAAATAAAGACAAAAGTGATGTTTCTACAGGCAAAACTGAAATATTAAAAAGCGTTGCAGAGAAGATTCAGAAATTACGAGTTCAATATGCTAATTTAAATCGCTTGGCTAAGCCTTATAAATGTTATTCACCAGGTTGTAATGCAGCTTTAACTGGACAGCACACCTCAGTTGTCTCTAATTGCTATTCTCCGCTGTGCATACAGAAATTAAATTTGCGCAGAGAGCTTCTGCAATTGTTGAGATCAGCGCACAGCTCTGCTAATAATATTAATTCAAAAAAGACTTCAATATTAGAACAAAAGCTATCTGAATCTAAAGTAATTGAAAGCAAAGAAAAAGATCCTGTGAATATTACGAATAATATTTTGAAAGCTTATAGTTCTGCAATTACATATGATACGAGTCTTGTATCATGTTGTGCTGTTAATTCTGTTACTGTTAAAGAAGAATGTATCAACAAAATAGATGAGCATCAAAATGCAAATACTACTAGTTCATTGAAATTAAATGAATCAGAAACAAAAGATCTTAAAGAAAAAGTAAATATTAAAGCTGATATAGATATTACTGATAACTCAGAAAAGATTCCTAGATTATCATTAAATAATATTACCACTGATGATGATATCAAAAATGTTAATCAATCCCATGATGCAAATAATAGCTTTGAATCCACTTTGGATAGTCACGACATGGATACAATGACTCCAGAAGCTATTAATGAAATGATATTAGGTGTTAAAGGAGATAATTTTATAAATAAATCAAATGGTAAAGATGATGAGGCGAGTTGTAAAAACGATAAATCAAAATATTATACTAGAGCTAGACCAGCAAAGCAACTGATCACCACAACTCAAATAACTACAACCACTACTACTGTCACTCAAACAGTACGCATTGTTGATGGAGTCGTTCAAAGCATTGATGGATCATCAAGTCAACATATTCATGATAGATTATCTCATAGTTCTAAGGAAAAAAATTACCTATCTTGCAGTGCCATGTCTGCCAATTCACAATACCATGCACAATTAAACAGACGATTTTGTACCAACAAAACAACCAAACGTGAGGAGGTCAATCCTGAAACTGAATTTGCAGAAGATGGCAGTAAAAGAATATATTCAGCTATTAACACAGCTGGAAAAATTTATTTAAAGAACAATAATGGTATGAATGGTAAAAAGAAGAAAACACAACACATTAAGTATCCAGTTGTAGCTTCATTTCGTACTAGGAATAAACATAAGACCATAATGGTATTACCGCAACACGAATTAAAAACTTTAGCTAGACATGCTGGTAGATTGCCTGTAAATGGTTACCACCACTTAGCAAAGGTGAGTACATTTTTTTCACAGCTCTTTAATTTTCTAGCTAAACCTTGTTATCATTGTGCTCTAATCTGTCGCAGCTTATTTTTTTTGGTGAAATAAGAAAATCAGGGATCTCACTTGTAAATTATATTATGTTTTTTTCCTCAAATATATTGTGTTAATCTCATAAAATATATTATGTTTAAATTCATAAAGCAAACTTGACATTTCATAATGAAATGAGGAGCATTTTTATTTTATTTATGTTCAGAAAAATCAATTACAATACAGCAATATTTGTTAATTTTACCTTTATGATTCTATCATTGTTGTGTTAAAATGTCAGTATTTTGTTTTTAGTATTAAAAAATATTTATATGTTGCTAAATTTACTTACACCGTTTATTTTATTGAGCTTGATTTTGAAAATACATTTCTGTAATAGGCTTAATTATAACAGGAGTCATTGTTAATATTTATGACATTAGTGTTCCTTGTCTATGATTATGCAAATTCCATGAAAATGAATTTATGGGGGAAGACTGCTTTAGAGGCTTAAAAAAAACGATTTTTTTCTGTTGCAAAAATGTCTTCCAATTTTTTTTATTTTTTATTTTATCTGATTGGCGTGAAAGATAGGAAAAAAACTAAACGTCCTATCGAAACAAAACAAAATTGATTGTATTAAGATTAAATTCTCTTCTAGTTGATCCTACAAAACCTTAAAAAAAAAGTTATAATTAACCCACTTTTTAAACAATCTAAAGTGAGATTTAGTATCAAAATTATATTATTTATATCATATTATGTTATTAAAATAATGGAGTTACACTTTGAAAAGAGAATTGTCTCTAATCTAAGTAAATACTACAGAATACAATGTTATATAACATTCTTCAAAAGTGATTTATATTTGAATAGCCAAACACAGCAGTGTGGCCATACCCTTGCTCAAGGCCTCTTTTTAAAACATGCTGGTTGTACCGTACAGTTCATTTACGGTCATTGGCAGCAGTTGCGTTGCAACTGCGTATTGTGTGGACTTGCTTGAGATGGGATGACATGGCGGTTAAACCATCTAATAATGATGGAAAACATCAGGTAACAACAGAAACTGAGATCATGTCTTTAGAATTATTGAAACATAGGCACGTGGGAAAATTTATGGAGAAAACACAGTATCTTAGAAGACGTGTTGTTATACCACTTGAATTACCCAAAACAATTAGAGGTAATATTGCGTTGAAAATAAAATTTATGTATTATGAAACTATTTCTTATCAATTTTTTTTTTTTTTTTTTTTGTAGAAGTTACTTCAATAAGAAGTGGTCTTCGAAAACGTAAAAGAGCTGAATCTCCACAGCATACAGAACCACAGGTTACAGAAGAATGGGTAGATGAAGATAAACTGGAACTTTGGGAAATTAAACAATATGGTGACAAGTAAGTGTATCACTATTTTATATTATATTATATATATATATATATATATATATATATATATATATAAAATATAATATAATATGATAGCAATCAATTTAAAGTATTTAAAGGATGAAATATTATTGACAATTCTTATCATATGCTTGCCTCTAATACTTTTGAAAAAATTCAGAATAATTAATTCTGGTATTTATGTCTGATTAAAAAAAGATATATATGATTTAAAAAATTATAACATTGCCACTCTTCAAAATTTTGTATCTTTATTTTATATGCATTGTTTATGTACATGTACTTACACTATGAGATATGCATGCAAGTTTTAATACAGAAACCGCTATGCTTTTTGCCTGTCATTGCTTGTACTTTCAACACAATACAATAGTACAATATTACCTTAGATTTTTTTACCCAAAATAGTTGCTCCAATAATGTCGCCTATAATTTTTATGATTCATATTCAAATCTTGTGTTGACACCCCCTAAGGCGTGCGCGTATTTTTCGCAGGCGTAGCATTCAAAGTAGGATCGGCCCTGATTATTACTTAATTTCATATTTTCAGTGAATTAATTTGTCAAATACTGCTCATATGTGTATCATTCAATCCATACATATACTGTATCATATATTATTTTGATTTCTGGTACATCTCATCTGCTTTTCTTATTCATTATCATGAATTTATTATACATATTCCAATATTGTCTAGACTTATAAGTAAATTGAAATTTTTGGCAGATGACAGTTTTTATTTGTTTTCAATGCCAAACAATGTCTCAAATATTATCAATTTGAAGTAATTTGCAGCCCAATTGTCCAATTAAGAGAAGGATAATGATATTGCAATTATATTTTAAATCTATGACCACATGGTTACAAAATCAAAAATAGTATATTTAATATTTACACAAGGAAATAACACATAACAAATAACTGGAAATGTAGGAAGCTATTTGTAATAGATGAAAGAAAGAAATAAAAAAAGCAGGAATTGTATATGTATATGGTATATGTATATTAAAATATGTGTGTTTTTAAATTATTTTAGATTGGACAAAGCGAATATTTTGCCTGTCACTCGTACTGCTACAGGTAAGTTGCCTCCTGTCAGAAGTGCACATGATCCTTCACCTACTACTGGAGGAAAGCGACTTGTTGAAAGTGTCAGCGGTAAAGCAACTCCTGAAGAAATCAAAGAGAAAATGGAACAACAATTAAGAATGCAGAGAGCAGCACATCAACAAAAAAGAGCTCTGGAACTAAAGAGCATTCAGAAAGCTCCTTCAGCAGTTCCAGGTAAGTTAACAAATTATAAAACTATTTAATTTCTCTTATAAACAAATTACTTGTATAATCATATTACTAACACATGAATAAATTTCTTATAGACAAATATAATCATAAAAAAACTGCTAAAATTATTTAACTTAAATTTAATTTTCAACTTTTAAAATTGGGAAATTTTGATTTTATTATGTTGTTTTGCAATTAAACTCTTGTATGTTTTATTTATATAATAATTTCAATGTATTTCTACATTGAAAATTACATACATCCAAAAATTATTATTAAAGATCCAAATACAACTAATTGATTACATTTTTCTAATTTATTTTTAAATTGTTCACTATATTCATATTTAGACATATCCATAAATACCTCTGAAATATGTTCAATTTGATATTTATGTTTCATTGATTTTTACAGTTTCAAATACGGAAAATGCTGTTAGAATAGTCAAGAAAGGTCTTGCAAATAGTAAAAGTACTTTGACGTCATTGTTAACCAGTAACAATACTCCTTCACCACCTCCTGCAAAGGTTCCTATTGGTACTAGAAGGATAATCATGACCAAAGGAGGTGTCATAACAAGTAAATTATATTAAGCAGTATTATATTGTTATAAATTCACAAAAATAGATATTTTTATTACTTCAATAATATACATTGGACATTGTTTTAAGGTCCTACAGTGAATAAGGCTGGCTCAACAGAAAATCCACAAAAAGTACAAATAATTCGTGGACCTGATGGCAAAGTGCAAGTTCGTGGATTGATGCCTGGACAGCAAATAGTACAAATGCCCGATGGAAAGCTTCATGTCTTAAGTAGCAATCAACAAATTCGAAGTAAGTTTTTTTTTATAAGATTGAGTTTAAAAAATTTGTTTCTAAATATACAGTATAGAACTAAAGTAATAGAAATATATATATATTTTATACAAGTTTTTAACATTTATATTAGAAAAATACACAAAAAAACTGTGTATGCTACTGCAAGCCATTTTTGTGAGCTAATTAGTCCGGTCAATTTACGCATTCAAGATTACAATAATTTATAATGGGCGGTAACTTGGTAAAATTACTTAATAAAATTATAAAAGAGAAGTCCTCATCAAGTTCTGGTGTGAGCTAAAAAATTGTCACAAGGTCAAAGGTAAAAAAATGAATTATTTGCGATTTTCAGCTGGATGATCAGTCAAAATCACCTGACACAAGAGTGTATAGTATAAAATTATTGATGAAAAATTATCAATACCTTTTTTCCTCGGAGTCACCGTTTTAAAGATATATTACATTGAAAAGTACGTTTAAACGCCACCTACAAGGTAGTGTACTTAACGCGTTTTTTTTTTTGTGTTTGCCCCAGTAGGCCCATTTCACAGGTGTTGTGATTTTGTTTGTTTCGGAACTATTGCAAAATAATATTTGTGAATTTGTGTTGGTAAAAATAAAGGAGGTACTCATAAAAAAGCAGTTAAATTTATTTATAGTAGTTATAATTTTCTTATTGTCGTTCTTATTGTTCTTTTTTTTCTGTTTCTTCTTCTTGTTCACTTTGAGTATAAGTAAATTGTCCCAATAGCAATTCCTCGTTGGTATCATAGCAGTCCTCTAAAGTTGCCTACTCAACATTAGAACAGGTTATATTAGAACACGATTGGCAATGACAATGCATACACACCAGGAAACAAATGAGTGCAACTTTTTTGCAGCCACATTTAGCATTACATCTTCTTTTGCAGTTGCAAAATATTATGTTAAGAAGTTTCTCTGTGGCTGGTGGAAATTATGTTTGCACTGGTTCCAATGCATTGTCGACCAACTTCAAACCCCAGTATTTTGGGTCCAGCTGATTACCAAGCCACACTTAAACTTGGTAATATACCCGACTTGGTAAGATGTTGATGAGCAGCTACTGAGGTTGGAGGAAGACAAGTTGACTAATTTCCCTTCTTTTTATTGCGAGTATTTTGAACGAAACACGCATATCGAAACTTATCTAAGCAAGTTGTTAGGAGCTCTGTACATAGCCAGAACAACAAATACCGAAACGTCTGTATTTATATATATCTACCATTTACCATTTACCTGAAAATCGTGAAAAAGTCATTTTTTGAGGAACAATGAGGACTTCTAAGATTGCTTTTATAATTGTATTTTAAGCAATTTTACCAAGTTAGGATTCATTATGAATTCTTGTAACCTTCACCCTGATTTTAGATTTAAATTGACCGGGCTATACATTAATGATAAAACATGATAAACCTAGTCTTTATTAACTTCTCGAAAGATAAATGCATGTTTTCAGTGTTTGAATAGAGATGGATTATTATGTTGAATTAATATTTTCTGGGTATTTGAATTTAAGTTTTGCTTTGTTGCAGCTCTGAGAAAATTTTCAAAGCCATTTGCTTTTATTAGTTTTGATAATCATTGATCAACACACTTTTTTAAATCAATAGTTTAAATTTTATTATGTTTACACAAAATCTCTAAACTGATTTTAAGTATTCAAAATGTGTATTGATTTGTTTATTATTTTTCTTGTAAACCGATTTTAGATATTCTGAATTTATTCAGGATATATATTTTAATTTGCATACTTTTTAGATTTGTGGAAATATCATTAACCCACCCCTTAACTTACCATGACGAGCAGAGCCCGCGTACGACGGCTAGGCCAAATGTAAATATTAAGGGCATAGCCCACGTACAACAATCGGGCCAGAATATTACGCATTATGGGTTTCGCCCAGTACGCCATTCGCAACTATTACAAAATATTTATTTATACGAAACTATAAGACACAAAATGATTTTTATTTTTGTGATAAACTGTACACTGGGTAAGAAAATAGTCAAGAACAATGCACTGGCTTGAACAACTTTGACCTAACATTCTTGAAAATAAATCGTAAGTGAAGGGGTTAAACAGTTTTTTCATATCTAATATTTTTGTCCGTGTTCTATTACAAAGTATGTGATTGCTTACGTTTTCTTTTACTTTGATATACTGTTAATGGGAATTATTTGTCCAAAACCGTTCTGTTAAAATTTATCTGTTGAAAACTTCAGCAATTTTGTTAATGCAAGAACTATTTGCTAGTTTTTAATTCTTTCTTTAAAAAAAAAAACGATTTTTAATTAAGATACAATTAATAAAAAGTTCATGTTTGCCTAGTTTTATTGCCAAAATATTTTGATAGTATTAATCTGTGTCTGAAATTGAAAGTCCACAAGCTTATTCATTATGATTTTTTATCTCAGACTCTCCAGGAAATTCAACGCCAAATTCTCCAAAGCCTGTGCTACGAACAGTAGTGAGACCGCAAACTGCAGGCAATGCAAACCCAGCAAATAAAACCATTAAGCCTGGATCTGCTATTGTAATTCGACAACAAAATGCTAATTTATCACTACCTTCTAAAACACAAAATCCAACATCAAAGACAGTTACAAAGTTGATTCAACCCCAGATTGTTCCTGGCAATTCACAACAAATTATACAAACTCCTAGTGGGCAGAAGATTGTAGTTGGTAAAAATATAATCCCGGGACAAAAATTTGTTGTGAGCCAAAACCCACAGGTGATTGGTACGCAACAGCAACAAATAGTTCTGAGTGGTCAAAAATTAGTTACTGTAAATGCTAGTGGCTCACAGATAATACAAACACCATCTGGTCAACAATTAGTTGCTGTTGCGGGGCAACCAGTGGTTGGTGGTACCAGATTGTTGCAAGCTGGAACTCAACAGATAGTTGTTAGTGGAAATTCTGTTGTATCCAATCAGGTAACAAAACTAAAACTAACTCTTAGATTAGCATAACGAGTTTATTTATTTTATATTTATTTCAGGTTATACAGCAAAATCCAACTCGTTTGATTTCTGGATCACAACAGATAGTTGTTAGTAATCCAAATCTCGTTCAGCAATTGCAACTAGGTAAAGTTCAAATTGCTACCATAAATGGACAACAAGTTTTGATAAGAAGTACTGGAAATAATCAAGCGCAAATAGTTGCACAATTATCTTCACCAGGGCAATTAAATCAAGGAAGTTCAAACAATCTTCAAGCTATTCAATCTAGTGCAAACAGTTTGCAGACTGTAAAGTCTGTTTCTAGCTCAAATATGTCTCAAGAAAGTGGCAGTACATCTGATAGCAGTCCAGATGTTACAAATATATCCGCAAATAAACAATCCCAAGTGTTAGATCCTCAACAAGTTGCAGCCCATACTCCGCAGACAGTAGTTAGTGGACAACCCACACAAAACACATTGCCTGCAGCTGTTGCACCCATCCAAAATAACATTCAGCACCCAGAGAATGCTAAAACTAATTCTAATTCACAAGGTCAATCTATTACTGATAAACAAATGACAATGGAACAATCACTCTTGATTGGCCAACCTCCTGGTACAGTTATTAAGTGTGTCACGGCGCAAGTTATAAATACACCTCAGGGACCAAGAATAGTATTGCAAGGTCTTCAAGGCACCGAATTTACGGCTCAACAATTAAGTACAGTTCAACAGCAAGTAAAGCAACAACTGTTAAAGGGTTAGTATCATATAACTAATTTAATTGTAGAATTAAAAGATAGCTTATATTTACCTCATTTGTTTATAATTATATTATAGCACAAGAAACAACTGGTAAGCAAGGTGTTCTTGGTCCAACCAAAATATACCTTGCTGTCCAACCACCACTTAGCGCACAACAAAAATTACCCCCTCTTGCTCCTGTACAGGATTCTTGTCCAGAACCTCAGGTTTGAGTACTAGCATATTATTAAATATATGTATATGCATTTTAACACTGAAATCAGCAAATATTAAAAATAATAATAATATTCTATTGTTTATACAAACCTGCTATAGAGCCATTTTTGTTTTAACTCTTGTTAACAGTAAACAAAAAAATTATAGGTTGAAAATAGCAGTCAGTCATCCATAGCAAAAAAAACACTTGTCAATGGCCAAACACCATTTGAAGTTCAACAACAAATTAATCAAACCCTGGAAAACATAAAACAGGAAATGGATCATGAAAAAGTTAAAGAGATAGAGAAACTAGTTCCTGGTCAGGCTTTTCCTGAAGGGGCAGACAAAAATTCTTTTATATTAACTCCTGACTATATACAACAAAGTAAGTAGTTTTGTTCTAAAATGTTTCCTTTTTTATTAAATTGTATTGATAAATATATATTAAATAAATTTATTATTTAGCTATTAAAAATGCTTTAAAACAAGAAAATTTGAACCCAGAAATTGAAGAAAAACTTCTTCAATTACAAAGATATCAAGAGAAACAAATGAAACATGAACCAGGCATAGTAGATTCCCCTGTGAGTCCAACTAATGTTTCTAAAACATCTTTGAGAAAACGTCCCCTCAGTTCTTCTTCTAAATCTATAGATGAAGATTGGATTGAAACAATTCCACGTAAAAGGCCTCCTAGAAATAATAATTCACAAGGGGCAGATAGGAGAGCTAAGTATGTTAATTTGCCTTTTTAAGGTGCACTTTTTCCACACCTTGTTTTATATACTACTAATAACTTTTACTAACAAGATGTTTGAAAGATTCATTAGCTTTTCCTTTCAATCCTTTTCCAAAATATTTAGTATGGGAAGAATTCTAACATAAACTGTTTTTTTAAATTTCATTTAAAATTTTCATATGTACGATTTTATTTTGAATTTGATAATGTAACATTTATGGATGTGTTTCAAAACCTGATCATATCTCAAGATCTATTTGCTTACTTGTATTTTTTATTAGCAATGTAAATCTAATGTTTGCATTAATGTATTTGTTATAATGTAACATATTTTGCATGTAAATGATTTATTAGATAAGCAAAAACAGTTTTTTAATTTGCTTTTTTAAATGCTTGTATTTTATTTTTAAATAGTCATAAGTTTTTTAAACCAGCATGAAATAATTTATTTGCTGTGGACTGGTTAATTTATGAATTTTCACAAATCACTTTTTTAAATGACATTCTGCATGAATTTAGAAAATGGTTCAAAAGTTTAATATATTTTATAACCACCTAAACTACTAATCTTAACACAAATGTTTTTGTAAAGTGTGGTGTGATTTTTATGACATACTGTTTGTTTTATGGTAACATACTTTGTCATGCTGATATTTAGATCAAATAACTAGTAAATCAATGATAAGTGATAGTGATCAACAAATATATCACTATATGTTATTATTTGAAAAACTAATTTATCAATGTTCATATGATTTTCAATTTTAATTTGTATGACTTAACTGGAAACTGTTTTTATACATAGCCTAAGAGAGATCATTTATTACGCTCTTAGAAATGTATGTATCTGTGTGTTGAATTGTTTCCAATCTAATAATGTAGTGTTTGCTGCTGGATTTTTTATGATTTTTTTTTATTTAACAAATGAGGTTGTGGAAATTCTGTTTCTGTTACTCATACTTTGTGACACCATTATTAACCGTACTGTATCATGCTTGTTTAGTATCTAACAAAATAATGTATTTTTTGTACTTAACAAAAAAATCACTGATTCTACTTCAAGGTGTAGAAAAATAACTTTATAATTTGAGAAGTGTTGAAATATTTGACAATAAGCAATATGCAAAAATATTTTGTTTGAGGCTCAAAGATAGGTTGAGTAGCTGGTTCTCACATTTAAAAAACATATTTATTCATCTGCTTAATTCATTTGCTTTTGTATTATTATCATAAATAAATATATATTTTTATTGTATGTATTGTTTATAAATGCATACATACGTGCATGATATATATATACACATATATTTTCTGCTTTTTTTTCATTTATGAAAACACCTTTCAACATAAATTAATAGTATCTTCCGATAACTAAAATTGGACTTCTGACCTGATGAATATAGTAAACCTGTACTAAACTATTTATACATGGACACAATTATACACATTATATAATGTGTATGTATATTTATGTATGTGTGTATGTGAACATATCCACCTTGATTATTACCATATTAATATAATGATTCAAAAATGCACACCTTTCAGTGTATATATATATATATATATATATATATATATATATATATATATATATACAGATTAAAACATATGCACACATGTATATATGTACATACATTCAAATGTATGTACAAATGTTATAATCTGTAATATTATTATTTGGTGTCTTGTCCGAAAGTAGTTTCATATAAACTGAAAAACGTTTCATTACCATTTTTAAATCCATTGTGCCTGGTTGACTGCTTTCTTTTGATACTTCATCCATTTTATCTTCTTCAGGACTATATCTCATAAATAATTCTTTTATTGAGTTAACTACTTTGGTACGACGTCTAACGTCGCGTGCATATAACAGCAGTCCACTAAATGCGATGCCCGGCTGTGTGACGCATTCTGGTATCGTCGAGTATACTCGTCGCTCGTATCTTTAAACTCGTACATAATATTCGTACTTGTACTCATGCTCATACATAATAATTATTTATTTTTTTATTTGACTATTTTGCTGCAAATACACACACACACACACACATGTATATATATATATATGTGTGTGTGTGTGTCTTTGCAGCTAAATAGTCAAACTAAAAAACACTACGATTCCACACGGTATGTGTGTCATCATTCAGCATGTTCAATAGAATTGAAACTAGGAAAAAAAACGCGACAAAAAATTTTTAAGGCATTGTTTTATGAATACAAATCAATAAAATAAAATAATGAACTAGAAGTTAAACAATAAAATTATGACATCCATATTTTTTTACTTTTTTCTCAAAATTCATGTCACGTGGCTTTCTATATAAATTTATTAAAATTAGGAAATCCATTTTTTTTACTTTGTTCTCAAAATTTGTCAGTTTATTATTTTATTTTATTTGTTCGATTTTTAATAGAACGATTTTTATGAAACTATGTCTTGAAAATTGTTTTTCTTTCCTGGTTTGAATTTTGGTAGACATGCCGAATGATGACACACACAGTGTCGAAACGTACATAATGAATAGTTAATTACTTTTTGCTTTTTGAGACTATTGGGCTGCAAATAAACATTTCAAGAATATGTTTTAACGTCAAACAAAAAAATCTAATGTGATATATATAAATATATATCTATATTATATATATATATATATATATATATATATATATATATAATATATATATATATATCACTCATGCTTCTCATTCTATCAGCAATGTAACCTAATATCCTATAATAATAATACCATTTATCCATATATAGATGAAAAATTTTAATTTAAATTGAAAATGTATCATTGCGGTATTGCAGTTTGATGGCAATGAAAACTAACATTAAATTTTACTAAAGTTGCAGTTTAACTTAACTCATGAGCAGAAGATCGCTACATATGCAATCACATTCACATTTTTCTTTTCGTTTATCTTTTTAACTTATCTAACATTGCCGGTTTGAATGTGTATGCTAGTATATGTACATATGTATATTATTATATGTATATATGTATATTATGTGAGATAGCTCTGTATGAAATTTCTTATTGATCGTTATTTATTAAAAATTCATATTTGTGATACGTATAATTTTTGAGTGGTATGCTTTATAATTTACTTTTATTTGTAATTGTTTTATTTACTGAATTTGAGTATTTTTAATTCTTGTTTAAATTCTCTAGTTTTTCTTTAAAAGGCTTTGTGTAAAGTATGCAAATTATTTTTAATGTAAATAATACAACATTTGGTGTTATATTGGAAATATAATTAGAGTATAATTATAGTATAGTTTAAAAGCCAATTTCAGTTGGTTTCCTTTTAACCTTTTATAGTGTTGGAATTTACACAAAAATATGTCATAAAACATTTTATCCATTCATTTTAGTTTTTACTAATGTTTGCAATTTTATGATTATAACTCACATATCATTTTTTCAGTTTGTAATGAAGTTTACATTTGCATTTAAAATGCTAATTTAAATACTAGACAATATGTCAAAACAAAATTGTTTGAAGTTTTGTCATTGTCATTTTGTTTCATTTGTTTTTAACTGAAATTAAATTAAATTAAACAATTAGGCCAGAAACACCAGACATAGTACCCAAACAAATAAATATGCCTGGGAAGACAGTGGTCAGGCGCCTTACAGGACCTGCTGGCCCAATTAAAGATAGTCAAGAAGAAAAAAGAAAGAATCACATCCAAAGTAAACTCCAAATATTATTATTTAGACATAAAGAATTGCTTAAAAAGGACATATTAAAAAAGAGAGCCTTACTAGAGAAGGAATTGCAAATTGAAATACAGGTAATTTTTATTTTACTTTATCTATGCTTATGATATGTGTGCATACTGAATTTTTATTATTATTTATTGAATTATAAATTATTATTGATATTATGAGAATGAATTAAATATAACAATTAATATTTGTATACTTTACAGAGAGATCTATCTAATGAGCTGGCTCTGAGAACTAAAGCTGAGCGCTCTAAACAGGATGAGGTGAGAACTGGCAGTGGAAAGAGAAAGAGCACTGCAACTACCCCAACACCTTTGATATCTCAAGCTGGCAGCAAATCAAATTCACGTGTTAGAAAACAAAGCCAAAGATCTTCAACAACACCTCCTGGTTTAATGTCAAATCGTGGCTCCAATAAAAAGGAGAAACTGTACTGCGTGTGCAGAACTCCATATGATGATACAAAGTATGCCATAATTTTTTTTTTCTGTTTATTTCTTTTTTTTTTTAACTTGTATAGTAATATATGCATATACATATTATTATTATTATTTTTATTGGGTTCTGCATAAGGATATTGCTGGCCTTATTTAGATGGCTCAGGGGGCGGAAGCGGCCCGCATGCCATATTTTTAACACGGCCAATGTATATGCACACATAATTACATATATAATTTTGATGTATTATAGATTCTATGTGGGATGCGATCTTTGCAATAACTGGTTTCATGGAGACTGTGTTGGAATCAATGAAGAGCTCAGCAAGAGTTTATCTGAGTTTGTGTGTACTGAATGTCGACATGCTAGAGATACCAAGGAATTATATTGTTTATGCAGACAACCTTATGATGAATCACAGTATGTATTGCTCACTACTAATGACAACATTTCCAACAAAACTTTTATGTAACAATTATTTATTTAAGGTTTTATATATGCTGTGACAAATGTCAAGATTGGTTCCATGGACGATGCGTTGGTGTATTACAGTCAGAAGCAGATAATATTGATGAATACATTTGCCCAAAATGTCAACGGAATAATTCTTTTAATTTTGCAACTCTGAGGGATCTTACACAAAGAGATTATGAGGGTCTCAAGAAGCTGATAAAGCAAATACAAGTAATATATAATCAACTTATTTAAATGTCAATTATTATGTTAGATAAGAAATTAAATGTTTTACTGTCTCAAACAGATGCACAAAAGTGCATGGCCGTTTATGGAACCTGTTGACCCTCATGAAGCTCCGGACTATTACAAAGTCATCAAGGAACCTATGGGTAAGATATTTCACTAATAGCTTTATTTTAGTACTACGTTTTTTATATATTTTTATTAATAATAAATTCTGTTATATACAGATTTGCAAAAAATTGAGCAGAAGATTAACGAGCAAAGGTATAACAAACTGAGCGAGTTTATTGGAGATATGACTAAGATCTTTGACAATTGTCGCTATTATAATCCAAAAGAGTCTCCATTTTATCGATGTGCTCAAGGTTTAGAAAGTTTTTTTGTGCAAAAAATTAAGTTTTTAAGGGAAAGATTATTTGAAACAAATAAGTGACTCAATAACTGATTGTAGATTATACAATTTTATCATAGTGTTATTTAAAGTGTGGAAATATAGCTGCGTAAATAGTTTATATATTTTTTGTGCATTACATTCGTGCATTATTTTTTAATTGTATAATTAATTTCATATTATGTTAAAATATATTTTAGTTACATAGATATAGTATTGTAATTATTTAAAATGATTATTTTGTTTGATGATAGAAAGCTAGATATAAGATTCAAAATGTAGAGATGTAAATACATATATATATATATATACTTGTTGTAAGTTATGTATCATTATAACTGAGGTTTATTTTCTTCATTCTATCTATTTTAAATAAATATAGAAGCTTGTTTGTTTATGAGCCTTATAAATTGTAAAACAGAATCATATTGAAGTTTGTATATAACACATTGTGTGAGTGTAATATAGCTTTTATATATATATATCAAGGGGATTACTTTATAGTGCTTATGAAATGTTACATTTTAAATGTACAGAATGAACTAATTGTATATATTTTAATCTATTTACTACATTTATATTTTATTAAATTAATTAAAAATTGATTTAAATATGTAGATGACTGCTATAGCCCATATATATTTAAAATTTTAAAATTCAGTTTTCTATCAATCCATAATGTTCGGATTGTAATTAATCGCTGGTTATATTGCTACTTTTTATGAAAATGTGTTTAATATATATTCTTAAAAATCTTGTTTGTATAATCTGGATTATTTAATGAAATGGAAAGCATATTTTGCTATCAATGGAAAAATGTTAATTTGTTGGTGTACAGCATTTTAGTTGTCATTGGATAAGTGCTTTAATATTATATGTAAATTTATTTTTTATGGACTCCCAATAAATCTATTAGAAAATATGTTAAAGTTATTACTTATATTACGATCGCCATAATGTATACAGTAAAAACGGTTTTTCAGAACCGGACCAAAAATGCGTACACGGGATAGATGAAATAACGTACCCTTAACTATAACAATTAGGTATTATATTCTAATTTTGGTATATGTAGGTATCATTATTCATTTATAAATTATATTATTTATGTAGTGACATTATAATTAATAAGCAGCTGTAATTTCGTAGACGTTGCGCGCGAAGTTGAGTTGTTTGCGAATTGGTTAGCGAACGCATGATTAGCCTATGTGCGATCCCCGCAATCAAACATGGTGGATGTTCAGTGTTTGTCTGGGGATGCTTTGCTGGGGACATTGTGAAAATTGATGGTATTATGGACAAAAAACAGTCTTCCACAACATTGTTCAACGGCACGCTTTTCCGTGTGGGAAGAGAATAGTCGCTCGCGGATTCGTTTTCCAGCAAGATAATGATCTTAAGCACCCTTCTAAATTTTGTCGGGATTACATAGCAGCCTAAGAAAAGCAGAAAGAATTCAAATATATGGAATGGGCTCCTCAGTCGCCGGATACGAGTACGAGTTGGACAGACGAGTGAGAAAATTGCAAACAACTAATACAAAACAGCTTTGGACGTCCCTACAAAATCGCTGGAATGAAATAACGACGGAATCAATATGCGCTGCTGTTATTCGAGCAAAAGACGGATATTTCAAAAAATCAAAAATGTAGAGAAATATTTGCGGGTTTCTTTGTGAGTTGACATATTTTGTATAAACAGTGATTACATTTTCATAAATATTGATACTAAAAAATGAACGAAGAAAACCATGGTTTCTTGTACATTTCAACAGGATTGTGAAGTGGACCCACACTTTTGACCAGTAGTGTGAATTTTCTGACCCAGCAGAATTGGCACTAGCCACGATGGTCAGTCTTTATTTACTTGCTTTACCATCATTACAAGTTTCCTTCTTGAAAACAATTTAACTGCCATTAATTATTAAAAATTAGATTATTAAAAGATTAGAGATTATTAGATTATTAAAAGTTAGAAATGTCTCAGTTCGGAAAGTTGATTTCTCAGTGATCTGGCGATAAAACGATTCATCCAGCGATTTCAATTTTACGCGCTTTCTCGCATATTATGGGGTCACTTATGGCCAGTTTCAAAACTCACGCTTGATGAAACTAGTAGCGTGTTTTGGCGGAGCCTCGTATAAAATCTTGTTCGGGGTTTTCTTCTCATTTTTTCTTTCATATTTTATAAGTCAACGTTTCGTATGCCTGTAATTATTTCAGGGGCTTGCGTAGACCATTAACCGTGTTAAGTTTGATTTTAAACGCTAAACAAGTTTTTTAAAACATTTAATTGCGAAGGGCAGGCCAAAAATTCCGCAAAATTGTAGCAATATAATTACAGTTTGGGATTGAATTCTCTATTTTTTTTATATTTCATGTCAAATTATCGAGTCCTAATAAATAAAATAAGCAAGCTAAAGTCAGCAGTAATTGTTTCGAAATCTTTTTTTTGTTCGGGGTTGTCTTGAATGTTGGAAAAGGTTCTTATAAATATATTTGAATAATCAGATCTTTCTTGTCAAAAAGAAACAATACAATATGACTGTGAAAGTTTGCAAAATCGGATAACGGTTTGAAAAAGTCTTGTGCATAATACAGTTGTAGATTAAATTGAATAATTAAGACAATTGAAACTGTGCATGGATTAACGATAAGAAATAAATCCAGAAGCTGTAACGGGAAGTACGAGATATCTCTGTAAAGTAACATGAATAAGATTAGTTCTTATAATAGAATTAGAAGCCTACTTCTAATCTTTACCTTTACAGGTTGTTTATTTATAACTCTAGTTTTTAAGTTCCTAAACAAGAAGTTTATTCGCTAGAAAATCTGGCTCACTAATTTTAGGTTTTTTAAACGATTCAAGTCATTGTTAATATCGATATTAACAATGACTTGAATCGTTTAAAAAATCTAAAATTAGTGAGCCAGATTTTCTAGCAAACCAACTTCTTGTTTAGGAACTTAAAAACTAGAGTGGAGTGAGATGAGAGAACTGGAGAATAAAATTGGAAAAAGTATGAAAAGTGTGTATATGTGAGTCGAAGTTTGACTTTTTGTTTTAATAACGGTTGCACCGATTTCAAAAATTTAAAAGCCATTGGATAAAACTCGATAAGGACTCGCGATGATTGAATAGTTAATAGCCATTTTTTTTAATAGTTAGAAGAAAAGTGCAAATTTTTTCGTCCACATTGTAGACAAGCTCTAAAACGGTTTCAAATTTTTTAAATCTATTAGTCGGGGATCGTGCTAATTATAGTTTTTAGTAAAGATCAGCCTGGCCGTTTTTTCATAGTTAATTGTGAAATTTTTTATCTGAAAGTTCTGTTCTAAGGCAAAATGCCAATTACGCTTACGTTTAAGCTTTGGATAAAACGGTTGATCTCATGATAAAAAGTGCAGTGTGCCGTTATTCGTTTACATTTAAAATTTAGCAGGAAGAGAAATATGGATCGCGCCAGTAACAAAATTATTCTAAATGCTTGTGTTACGAAGTTTATTATCACAAGATTACAGTTCAAAGGGCAACCGAGATTGTCTATGTAGCGATGAAACAGTCTGCATATTTGTCTTGTTTTAGAATCCGATGACGCATTTGAACTCCCCATATTCGACGAATACATTCACATTGTGATTTGTAAAATTCATTAAATATATATTTATATATATATATATATATATATATAATGTGTTTATCTTTGATTTATGATTTACGCGTATGATTTAAATTTATTTCACGAGAAAAAAATATTTCAAAATATCTAATTACAAATTAAACATTTAATATCAGGATAAACACAAAAAATATTTTGAATTAATCGTTTAAAATCGCGTCAGAATTGCAAATTGTTATTAAAATTAGTTAACTAAAAATAGTCTAATGTCCAATAATATATTGATGCGTCTAGCGTCGTCGACGTCATTGCGCTCCATTTAACATCATATGGTCAAGGGTTAAAAGTTTCTTGTTTGCAAAAATTTTTTTTGTTAATTTTGAAATATCATTTTTCTTGCTTAAATAATAATGGTCAGATATTTATAGGTAAACTATATCAATTCCTATATTTAAGAAACGGAATGTGTTTGATAAGGAATACCCTTGGCGTTTTTGTTATTATTCTCGAAATTTCTTGATGTCTTTGACCCTTGGCGACTAGATTAAAATTCTTTAGATATGTTTTTTACTTCCTTAATAAATTGATTTTGAGCCATCTTTCTATTAGTGTACAATGTTGAATTAGTTGTATTAGTCGAATAATTTTAAATTCTATATTGATATAGAGGCTTTTTATGTAATATTAAAATCGTTATCAACTTATATCAATTTCAACTGCGCAATTATATAATATTAAAACATACAATTATATATAATAAGTATTTGATATAAGTGATCAAAAATATTAAAAGGCTAATATGTGGTTATTCTAGTTGCTGCACAATTTTCCGAAACTAATGTTCAAATAAATCCTATTTATTTAAAATATTTGAAAGTGCTTGAATAAAAATTTTACGGACAAATTTTGAAAAACGGAAAATTTATTTAGGCAAGAATTTGCAGCAACCATTTTTTTTAAATCAGTAATGGAAAAGAGTAGCAATTTATAAATTTAAAATTGTTATAGTTTTTATATTTTTTAATTTTTATATTTTAATTAGATGTATTAAAATTGACAATAATAGTATTTAAAATATAGTTATATTGTCATATGAAACTGCCAGAAATTTGAAAATGTATGCGCTAAAACGGAACTCATTCATTCATTGATAACCTAATATTCACAGGCACTATACGTAAACCGATCACATATACATTATATATATATATATATATATATATATATATATATATATAATATTAAATATTTATTTGGAACTGTTAAGTGTGTAAGCTATAAGTGTTTATAAATCATTAACAGCATCTGATTATTGCAGTTGGTTCGCAGAGTGATTAATTGTGGAAAACATTGAATTCATAATTTTGATAGTTGAGTGATTAAAAATTCTTAAAAATAAGATAAAATTTATAAAAGTTTAGTGTTACTAGTGATCCAACAAATAAACTTAAAAAAATGTTAAAAAACGGAACAGGGGTATTTCTTCAAACGTTTCTCTATTTAATACAAAATCCAGGAGATTATCCGATGGAAAGTAATTCATTATATGACACGAGGATGGATAATGGTATGCCCGACCTATTTTTGGAATAAATTTTTAATCTGTAGAGAGAAAGGTGCACGTGAAAATATGAAATTTAGATAGTTACATAGTTTTAGATATAAATTGAACGTGATTTTAATTTACGAATTATTCATGAATTCACATCGTTTTGGTTCTATTTCTCCTAAAAAATTGTAATGAAAAATTAATATTTTGCAGCTAATCAAAAACTTGTGCATATTACATATAGAATATAGATCTTCTGAGCTACTATTCTTGTAATTTAGTAAAAATTTCGTTTTACAACTACGTTACTTCAATTTGATTGATCATAATGAAAACTTGAAAAATGAATTACTATTCATAAAGCTTTTCATAAATATAAAATATTTACTACATATTAAAGTTTGGAATTATAATTCATGTATACATATCAAATGTAATATTTGTCATATTGACGATTGAAATAATTACCAGGTACTTGTTAGAGAAGTAATATAAAAATGTGAAAAATCACAGAGATTTTGAATGCCAAAGAAATATTTCCAATATATATATATATATATATATATATATATATATATATATATTAGGTTGCCAAATATCTCCCTTCCGCCTTTTTGTATTATAAACCAAGAGCAAAAAAGCGGAAGGCGGATAGGGAGAGATATATATATATATATATATATATATATATATATATATATATATTGAAAATATTTCTTATATATATTATTCTGAATTGCTCTACATAGCCTTTAGCTTAAACTCTGCTTATGAATATAGTCTATTATATAGATTATAGCTTATTACATAGATATTATAAAAGAATATTAAAATTTAATAATATTTGCTTAATCTGAATTATATCTTTGCTTATCTGAATTGCACTGTTTTTATTTTTTAATGCAATAATATCGATATATATATATTAATTATTCAAACATTATCAATTTTATTTTTACTTCTTAACTATTTTAGTTAATAATCAAAATATAGACGATATAATAATTAGCATCGATATTGTTTTTTGTTATGTAAATTATGTAAACCTATTTATTTTTTTACTTCCGAATTGTTTGATGCCGTTCTTTTGATAAAATGCAAAAAGAAAACGTCTAATCTTTGTCAAAGTTCGTATAGGTCAGAAAAACTACTTCTTCATCTAATGCAAAGAACGCCCGAGAATATCGTTATATTTTAGGTTCTTCAAATACAATATTCAATCAAATCAATATCCAATATTCTTCAAATTGAAAGAAGTGTTATGACAAACTATTACTGAAAATCGCCTACTAACTATAAGATCTCGTAGTCCGCAAACAAACCAGAGAAACGAATAATTTCTATCTAAAATAAATGCTGTTTATCAAAATGACTATCGATTAATAAAAGCCAATTTTTATCGATAATCTTCATATTAATCTTTTTATAGATAATCTTCATATTAATGCACAGCATGTGTTGATTGTTTTAAATGATATTTTGTGAAAACGCGAGCGAGCAATTTTGGCTGCCAAAAATATAGATGTCGACGCAATAAATTTAAACATTCAATACTCGCCAATCACATATCATTCAAATCGATCGATACGATTATTCATCCCGCTTATTTTTCCTCAGAATAATCATTCTTATTAACTTCCCATGGGGTAAGTTATAGTAATCGCAAAAAATCGAAAACGAAAACTTTTATATATATTTACGTTTGAAAGGTTTCTGAGCATTTTAGCATATCTTAGAAAAAATGGATGTATGTGTGTGTATGCGGATACAATTTTTTGTCGACGATCTCGAGAACACCGATCAACCTAATTTGAATAATTAAAAAAACATTCGATTTGTATTGATAAGGAATTATCAGATATTTTACGAAAATTTTAATAATGTGTATCAAGTTTCTTAAATTTCTATGGGTTCCGTAACGCCGTTTATCAAAATTTCTAAAATATTTCAAAATAAAAAAAACATTTTTTTCCCCAAAAATTCATTTTTTTTCAAAAATTAAAAATTTCTCAATAATCTCATTCTTTGAAAATTTAAACAATATAAAAGTTTAATCTTTTCTAAAAAAAAATTTTTTTGCACGAGAAGTTCCAGCACTTTGCCTTAAGGCACGTTGATATACACCACTAATTTGCAATTTGAATGAACCGATGAATATGCAATATATAGATAAGTTGTGACACCCGTTAATATTCTTTAATAAACGATACTGTGTTGGACTTCTAAAGATAAAATTTTGTCCAAAATGTTTAAAGCAAATTTAATTTAACGAATAGATATTACGGTAATGTCGCAAAATTACTGCAATTACATCTTAGTCGAAGTGCTGGCTAAATACGATGAACACAATCTTTTTGTTAACATTCTTGTTAGAGTCCTCAATGGAATTTTCCTCGATGGTGTTGGTTTATTTTGTGCCGTCTGCTACTTCATAGTCATTTAGGTCCTCACGACCAAGCAATCACGACAATCATAATCTTGTTCAACACTTTGATCAATTCAAATACATTGATTAAGTTTTTATTGATTATATACCTTTGTTAAAATGTTTTTAATATTATTGACTGTTTTGCAATGCCAAAGCTCATGCTCGTACAGAAAACAAAAGAATAAAACATGTTATCACTTAAGAATAATTTCAATTCCACTAAATTAAAATTAATAAATTTTAATAAATTTCAATTAATAAATTCAGTTTTGGTCGCCATAATAAACAATGACCCAAGTCTCTCCAATTATGGAACGAATCTTGTAGAAATTAAATATTTATTGAAAATTTTTATTATATAGTCAATGCTGATAATATAAATATGAATAATTAATAAATGCGCATTTGTAATAAATATTGTTTTATATTATTAGATATCGGTGAGACAAAGTGCTATGAACCTTATGGCTGTTTTGATATTTCGTACCCTTGGATCACAGAAAGTCGACCGGTTAGCTTATTTCCGGAGTCTCCTGAAAAAATTCATCCTAGATTTGCACTGTTTACAAGAAATACTTTGGAGCATCCAAAATTTCTCGATTTGTATGATCCGGGAACAATTAGGTGACATAATATTTAATTCCGCAATGTATTCAAAATATTATTTGTATTTTGAAATAAGTTAGAATTATTTATAGTATACATAATAAATAGTAGTCTGCCCAAAGGCAGGTCCATTGTGTGAGAGCACCACAAAATCAACGATTTTCTTCCCCTCCCTTGTTTATCATTCCCGTTACCGTTTTATTTTATTACCATTAATTATAATGACCACTCTTTTTATTCGTTTTTATGCATTTTTTTTCCAAACTTTTGCTTCTATGCTTCCTGGTTTTGTGCTTCGGCTTTCAGTTCTCTGTATTTCCTCTTCTTATGACGTCAACCATCTGCATTCTTCTTCTTCCCAATCCTTTCAGTCCTTCTATTTTGCCTTCGGCAACGTCGTGTAGAAGGCACTTTTTTTGTAGAATAGTATTTATATTACAAATTTATTATTTATTTATCATTAACTATCATTATATATTAATAATTTTTATTACAATCAATTTTTAAATAGACCATATTTTGATTATTGTGTATACTTTTAGATCGGCAAACATAAATCGCAATGGAAGCATATATCTTATTTCTCATGGATACATGGAAGCAGGAAGCAAGCCTTGGGTATGTAAATAAGAAATAATTATTTAAAAATGTAATAAAATCAATAAAAACGACGATGAAAATCGAGATTATATAAATTACTTCAATAAACTTACAAAAAATATTAAAATGAAAATTGAAGTTCGTAAGAATTATTTGAAATCTAAACATATTTTAATGTGCATTTTGTGAAACTTGGGCAAATAAAGTGTAGAATAATTACGTTCACGAATCATGAAATCGAGGTACAGCTTAAAGCAGATGCTTTCGTTATACGTGACTGCGCAACTGTTTTTGATAATTGTTTCACGGAAATGTTTAAATATTTTGCTTATGTGAATAACAATTGTTACATATATTTTAATATACTGTAAACATTTTAAGATTCACAAAATGGCATATGAGTTGTTGAACAGGCCGGAAGGTGAAACAGCTACTGTGATCGTGATTGATTGGAAAGACGGCTCGAGTCCGCCTTACACGCAAGCGGTTGCCAATATTCGACTTGTCGGAACAATGACTGGTCATCTTTTGGGAGCAATCAAGGTTCGATCATAATGAAAGATTCATATATGATAATAACGCCACAGTGATATTTTGAAGGTTTTTCTGCATTTGCGAAGAATTACCTAATTATATTTATAGACCAAATTTCTTTCTCGTTTAATTTGGCATTGTTTCAAATTTTTTTTGTGTAATTCTTTATGCAAGTGCTAGAACGCCTTGATGTGTAATGCTATAGAGCATTATATGTAAATCGGCTTTTATTCAAGTCCATATTCTTTACAGAATGAATATAAAATGACTAATTTGGACAATGTTCATATCATTGGGCATTCCTTGGGAGCACATCTAGCTGGCTACGCGGGCACCACAACAATTAAGGTGACTTTTTATAATATAATAAAATCTATTCAGATCTTGTTTGCTTAGTACCTATCACTAAAACCGTGTATTTATTACCTTAGGGTTTTTGATGATTTTTCGAACCATTGATCGATTGAAATATATATCTACCAATAAATATAATATACTTCGTAAAACTATTTGATTAACTACTTCCTTTTTTGTTGTTTATGATTTCATGTTCTTAGAACAAATTTTGTATTTCAAAGTATATGTTATGATTTTAAAATTTTATTTTTATTCAGGAATATGGAGTCAGAATTGGCCGAATCACAGGATTAGATCCTGCTGAGCCACATTTTGCTAAAACTGATACAATTGTTCGCCTTGATCGCGACGATGCACAATTCGTCGATATCGTTCACAGCGATGCATCTCCATTTATAAGCGGAGGTAAATTAATTATATGTTAAACATATTTACACCTTGTGTTCGTTAATTATGCAGCATATTATTTATAAACAACTGAGAGTGTTTTTGAAATTAACTTATATTTTTCTCAATAACAGAGCACTCATGACGTGCTTTTATCGAGATTTAAACGATCTAAAATAAACTGCAAATATAATATAGAATATAAATATATAATATTACAAATATATAATATATATAATATAAATATATAATATATATATATATATATAATATGGTATAATATAAAATGATTATCATATAATATAGTATATGTACAGAATATATAAACTATAAATCGAATCGTACATTTTGTATCAAATGTACGAGGTCTTGGAAATGGAAAAATTCTAAATAATAGACCGACAAATCAAAAATCAGAAATCGTCAAAAGTGTTATTTTTCAACAGGGCAATTTCTAAAATAATTTACGTACAATATGTAATTATTTATTGTTATCAATTATATTGTATTGTATTGTACTCTGTTGACTAACTCTAAATCTTACATTTAATTTTTCTTTTGAAAGTAGTTACAACAATCAGATCTTTCAGATATTTCGTGAATTGTCTCTACTAAAATATATGCTTTTTTGATGGATTGTTTGCATATGGATTAAGGCAAGCCATCAATTATCCTAACTAATACAGATATAGCTTTTATTTATTTGTGTACGTTATATATAAGAAAGCAACCTCCTTAGTAGCCTCTTTAATTGTTATATTGCATAAATACCCCAAAGGCCTATTTTCACTTGGAAACATATTTCAATCTATTTTTTTAAGTGTAAACCAATGTCACTACTGCTTGGGCTTTTGATTGGAAGCTGTAACCACTTTGCCACGCGGAAGCCCTGCTGGTATATCGATCGCTATTATAAATATATGTATTTTTATTATATGAAAAGCAAATTATACTTTATGTTTTTAGGTCTTGGAATGTCTTCTCCGATAGGTCATGTCGACTACTATCCAAATGGCGGATCCAAGCAACCTGGTTGTGATCAAGGTATGCTGCAGTATATTACATTAGAACGTGGTTCCTTCTTCCGGGGAATGAGACGGTTCTTTGGTTGCAACCATCTTAGAAGCTATGAGTATTTTACTGAAAGTATTTCACCATCATGCCCATTTTTAAGCATAGCGTGCCATAACTATGAGGTAAAATTTATTTAATTTATTGCTTTAACCCTAATTATTAATAGGTAATTTCTTATGCTGTTAATTTTTATTACAAATCTTGGAAGTTAATATAAATTATATTGCATTATATTATTAATATAAAATTCCTAGACTTTGCAAACTGGAGAATGCTTCCAATGCGGAGTAAATGGGCAAAGTTGTCTTCAATTTGGCTTCAATGGATATAAGTCATACAGGCATCTTGTTGACAGTGGAGAGCTGACAAGCAGCAAATCTATTTCAACCTATTTGATGACCGGAAGTCAAAAACCGTTTTGCAGTAAGTATTTTTTTATCATATTTGTGTTATGATCAAAAAGATTACCAAAAAATAGAAGTACATCTTATTTAATTTAATGCAGAAAAAAATAATTTCAAGAATTTCTAATGTCAGCCGGCTTGCAGCATATCATTAGAACTATGTTATTTGTTTATATAAATATAATTATATATATATTTATATATATACATATATATTTATATATATATATTTATATTATATTATATATATTATATATATTATATATAATATATTATATTATATATATATATTTATATATATTATATATTATATTATATAGATATATTATTTATTATATATAATATTATTTTGTATTATATTATAAATTATATTATATATTATATTATATATACATATATATATAATATATATATAAATATATATATATATATATATATATATATATATATATCTCAAAGTAACTAGCAGCCCATTCGTCGAAATAAAAAAGGTATAAAGTATAAAAACTTTTATTTATACGTTTCGACACAAGATGCGTGTCATCATTCAGCAACTACAACAATTTGAAAATTTTATTAACTAATATAAACAACAATAAAAATTAATTAAAGCATAGAGAAACATTATACATACCACAGGACAAAAACACTCAACAAAAATTTATTTTAAAAATTAAACTTAATAACAATTAGAAAAAAACATTTTTTAGAAAAATTATGTATAACTAAAAGATTTGAAAACTAATTTTACTAAAAGTTATGAAATACATCATTGTGAAGCTAGAAGCACGCCCATACCGAGCATCTAGACTCGACTGAATTATTTCAATAGGCGTGTTGATAGGAATGGGAGGGGACGCATCAAGGACAAATTCTACGAGGCATGAGAAACGCATCGAATACAGAGTTTGAACTGGGATTGATCAAAAGGAAAAAGCAAACCAAGTAAAAGTTAAAACAAAAAAAACAAAATTGTAAAAAAAATAATATAAAGGAAATAAGCAAATTATTTTTTTGTTTTTTTTAATAAAATCAATAACTATCTGGTAACTATCATGTAAAAGGTGGGATGAATTGCGTTTGTTAACACAAGAGGAGGAATTTAATGAAATAAAAAAGGATTCAGCAAATTTTCTAAGGTCACTATTTTTTTCGATATAAAGAATAACAGGATGTGAAGTGTTAAAAGTGTGATTGAGATTGAGCATATGATCTGAAAACATCGTTTTGAATTGGTTTGGATTTTTTGAATTATAAATATGTTGATTAACTCTCTTATAAATATACTGGGAACTTTCTCCAATATAACACATATTGCAATCATTGCAATCCAACCTGTAAACAGAATCGGTGACCCTATCAGACAGGGTTCCAGACTTAAGAATCGAAAAAAGGCAATTAAAAGTATTATCAAAACTAAAAACTAATCGGAATCCTTCTGAAGAAAATAACTTTTTTAAAAAATACGAAAAATTGCTTAAAAAAGGCAAACAGATAGTTCCTTTGTTTTGGGTGGAAGAGGAAGCTAATGAATTTGAACAAGAGGTTGAAATTGAATTATTGGAATTCGTTTGTAAATAAATTAATCTATTATTAATGATGTTGTTGATAATGATGTTTTTATACTTTATACCTTTTTTATTTCGACGAATGGGCTGCTAGTTACTTTGAAATATGTTTCAACGTCGAAAAAACTATCAAGATATATATATATTTATATATATGTATATATATGTATATATATATATATATATATATATATATATTCAAATAATAGCAACAATTAATTTTTTGTTCAATGTTAGTTCTTTTTATGGTACTACAGTGTAATTCAATTATCCAGTAATTTATTCTACGATATACTGTATCCATTAATACTAAAAATTCCGCTTTTTTACTTATTGATAATATATTATATTACTTATACGATAGTTAATGATATACGAAATATTAGCTATTATATGAAAAAATACAATGAAATCTTGCTTAACGAGCATCTCTTATAACGAATAATTCACCTATCAAATAGAATTAATTGCAAAAATAATATGTTTTGCATGAAGAGAGATAAATTGATGTTTTGGACTAGTGGCAAAGTAAATTTCCAAGAAAATTCCGAGTGAAATAAAAGCAATGCAAACAATCGTTCTTGTCTATAACGAATGTTTTGCTTTACAAAAACGGATTATGCTCATTAAGCGAAATTCCACTATCAACAAAAATCAACATCTACAATTAGTTTAGTATAAAAACATTAATTGCCTTAAAACTTCAGGAATGATGCAAATAAGTATTAGTATGCATACCTTTGCAGTGAGAATTAGTTCAAAGCCTTATTTAACAGATAGTTTTTGTGAATTAGGGTACCAATTTTATGTTTTTTAAATAATTGATTTTTTTAAATAATTGTATATTTTGGTGATTTCAGAGGCTCATTACCGCATCACTGTCAAGATAGCAGATAGCATGGACAGCGCTATGCACGGGGGAGAAGTCGGAACAATTTATATTTTATTGAGATCAGATAAAGGAGTTGATAGCGAAAAAATTCCACTTACCCAAAATACTAAGTAAGTGAATTATATTAACATAGCATATTTAACTGATAATTTCAATAAATCATTTATGATAAGCAGAATTTCTTGGCCTGCTAGAGTGTATTTATACGCATATATCAATTCGCATTTTATAAATACTCAATTTTAACGCAATTTTTTCAACGGTTATATGGAGTACTAAAATAATAATAATGCTTTTATATAATATAGTCGATAGCAAAAATCTTCCATTTACTCAAAATACTATTAGGAAATGAATTTTATAATCATCGCATATTTAATTGATCATTTCAATAATCATCAGTAGAATCCGCTTAGTATGACATTTAAGGGACACCAAAATTCGTCCTAATAAGCGTAACTCTTACAAAGCATTCTGAAAAACTCTTTTATGCAAATATTTATGTACAGTAAAGGACTATTAGGCCGGTGCGTTCAGGACCTGTAAAAATTTCAAATAATAATTATAAATGTTATAATGAGATGTTATAATGGTTCTTAAATAATTCAAGGACGCTGATTCCGAAAACAGCAATAGAAATTTGCTAACAGCTCTAGTTTTTGAAATATGCCAATATGCTAGTTATGCCTCAAATCACAATAAAAAATACAACATCCAGTAGAACCTCGTTTATTCCTTGATTATACGGATTCGCGATTATCCGGACTCCCAACCGCGACCAATTTATAGTATGTACATACCTACAATTCGAATTTTTTGCATGATTAATGCTGCAGTTTAGTATATGTATGTAATGTAATCTAAGAAACTTTGTATAAACATGCATAAGGAAGCTTCAATTTTTTAATGAACATTATTTCCTTTGATATATATATATATATATATATATATATATATATATTTGTTATTTTTAGTAAACATGCAACATTGTTCTTCATACATTTGATTATCCGGATTTTTGATTATCCGAATGCGAACCTAAAATAATTAGTCCGGTTAATCGAGGCTCTACTGTATTTCATTTTATGCCTTCAAAAGTCTATTTATATGATTTTCGAGCATGGACAAGGTCTGACTGATTCCGTCTTAAGCTCCAACAATTTTTAGCCATCATGTGGATGTCCCACCTTCTATGATATCGCTCCTCCAAAGTCCTGATGTCTTGGTGGATACCCTGCTCTTCGATAATATCTCCAAGATTTTCTCAAAATCGTTCTGAATAAGAGTGCGGGTAATGAATTCAAATAAATCACATCAAATATATCAGTTTTTATTTCTTCCTGTCTTTTCTTTTAATGTTGTTTCCTACATCCATTACATGGTAGGCAGAAGATGTTGATGTTTTAGGTTGTTCATCATTAGCATGGATAGTCGTGTCGCTGATCGTAAGTAGACCTCAATACCATTGGGGTTGTGGTTATGACTATTTGCTTCTATTGCCTGATTTTTTTCATTGGTATTTACCGCACAGAAGAAACAATCGTCGTTGGCGATTCTGAGTTTTTTTAAATGACGGGAGTATTAAAAATTATAGCATTTTCTTTCTTCTGGATAATAATGTAAACATACTACGCAATTTTTTCACATAGTATGAAGCACTCATGTTTTATCTTTATTGCGCAATTCAGTTTTAAAGTGATTGAAAAACGATGCCGTTACGCAATTTGACCACAGATGTAACAAAAACTACCCAAATTATGCACACAACATCTTAGGGTCGAAGTCATACCAAAAACAGCAGATAAAACTCATATTTATTCGTTAAACTTCGTAACCGAAATGACTAATTGGGGTAGCTTCCTAAAACTCGAAAACTAGAGCTGTTACGGAAAAACGGAACGTATATTTGAAATCAGCGTGCAATTCTAAGAAGATATAACAAAAATGTTCGAGAAAAAAATAAAAGTGCCATTTTTGTCGCGCAGTGATATAAATTAACTACAGAAACAGTATAAAGTGGAGAAAAACAGCCTCTAAAGAAGGTAGCAGTTTTTAGCACGAGGCAGAACGGTTAATCGGTTAATCTGTCTTTGTTTTTCTTAAAAACCTCGGCTGCATTTTCTCCCCCCTCCGTTACCAGGGTGTAATATAAACAGTAAATAAATAAAGAAATATTTTTTTAAAATTTTTTTTTTTATTAGGTACTTTTTGATTCTTTGTTCGAAGCTCTACAATATATATATATATATATATATATATATACGAGGTCTGTTCAAAAAGTACCCGGAATTTTCGTTTTTTCAAAAAAATATTTATTTATTCGTCTACATTAATGTGGTCCCCTTCAAAGTAGTCCCCCCCAGATATAATACACTTATGCCAGCGTTTTTTCCAATTTTCGAAGCACCCTTGATATTCACTTTTTGATATGTCCTTGAGCACTCTCAGCGATTTTCTTCAATCGAGGAAAACCGCCGTCCTTTCATGGGTCTCTTCAACTTTGGGAATAGGAAAAAGTCACACGGAGCCATATCTGGTGAATTTTTGCACTTTGCAACACTTTATTTCATTTTTTATGCAAAATTTAATACAAATTCTTTGACTTTTCAATTCTTCCATTGTAAAAATCGCCGAGCTCAGAAAAACACGTCGAACCTTAGCGACTACCACAGACAAAGTAAACAGTGAATATAGCTGAAAATTTCATCATACTTTAGGGGCATGTATACCAACACAATAAAAAAAAAATTTTGACAATCAGACACTCCAGACCCGCGAAATTTAATTATTAGTAATTCCGGGTACTTTTTGAACACACCTCGTATATATATATATATATATATATATATATATATATATATAAATAAAAAAAATATGTATTATGATTTTAGATATTATAGTCCTGGATCAGAACATACTGTTGTAGTACCAGGAAGAGATATAAATAAATTGAAATCTGCGGTATTGATTTGGGAATATCAAACCAGTCTCATAAATCCACTCACATGGAGAATATTGGCAAAACCTAGAATTTATATATCATGGGTCACTATTGAATCTATGGAATATAGAACGAGGTAATCATAACTAATTATCAAAATTTGAATTTAAAGTCCAAATTACGATTGGTTACTATCATTTAATATTAATTGGTAAAGTTTAGATCGTCAAACATCTCAATTGCTATTATATGTTTAATGTTCTTGTTTGCATATAGTGTTAAATAATTTATTTGTTTATAGAATACGGGTGTGTTCTCCTTTTGGTAATCCAGTTGTGAATGCAGTTCCAGTACTGATGCAAGAGAGCAATTGCGTTAATGGAACAGAAATTACACCTTAAAAAGTTGTTGATGTTCATCAAATGTTTATGAATAACTTACAATTAGCGCATATGGTACCAACGGGTATTCATTTTGTTTGCGGCAATCAGTTTATGATTAACACAAATCATAAGTAAACTACTTTTCATTGTATAATCTTATTTTATCCTTTACAAACAGTTTTTGATATTGAATTCATAAAGCTGAGAAATAGATGAAAGCGTCGGCATTGAATTCATGATTTCTTTCGTTATTTATTATGTAAATATACGATTGCGCTAAAAATATTTATCATATTGATAGCATATTTAAAATATGAGACATCGGTGCATTTAAACAAGAAAGATGTTTTTTATTAATTTATTCATTATTTTGTGCAATACTTTCTGTAGCACTAGTGTGGAAAAATGATATGTAAATTAATGTCATTAAACGAGACGATTGGAATTGTAGTTCTAATTCACTGGTTATTTAAATTATTTTATATTGGAATTTGTACTACTTTATGTAATGGGACGGATACGAGAATGGTACCCATAATTCTTATTTTCAGTGTAATCTATGCCTAAAATTATAGCCCCAAATCGTATACACCAAAGCCTTCAAATGGTAAAAACACTGTTAGGTCGGCAAAAAAGTTATTTCGGTTACCTTCCGTGAAATACATGCAACGCGTCGAAATTACTGTCCTATGCACTTTGGGTATGTGTTTATTAGATATTTGTATTTGTAAATATATTTCTGATAAAATATATTTATCATTTCTATGATTCTAAATGTCTTTAGTTTCGAGAAAACAAATTAAACACACACATACACGCATATGTATATATATATATATATATATATATATATATATATATATACAGGACCGGTCCTGCCTTGCATGCGATGCATGCAAAAAATGCGGGCGCACGCCTTAGGGGGCGCCAAAACGAGTTTCGGAAATTAAATTTATAATGTAATATTTATATTTTTTATATAAAATCTAGAATTATTTATATAAAATCTAGTATGCATATTAAATTATAATAAACAATCTAACTTAATAGGGTTACGAAGACACAAAAAGCATTTATTCACATTTATTTTGCAATGTGATATCAGTAGAAACAATTAACCGATTAATAACACTGCAAATTAGTAAATAACAGCTCTGTTCATTGCTTAATCTACTTATTCAATTTTTTCTTTGTTTGAAGTTACCTTGGAATCGAAAAAGAAACTAGTTGTAAGTGGAATTCTGTCTTAAGGCAATCAAGGCATCGTGCCTTAAGGCAAATTGCTGGAACTTCCCGTACCAAAAATTATTATTTTTTTAAAAACGATTAACATTTTTGAAAAAAAATTTACTTCGAAAAAATAAGATTTTTGACAAACAATTAGACAAAAAATTACTTTTTTTTAAAAATTTTTTTTTTTAAATTTTTTTTTTTAATTTTTTTTTTTTGAAAAAAAATGTTTTCTTTATTTAGACATATTTTGAAAGATCTAAACTTTTTTTCAAAGCAATCGTACTGCTTTAACTGCATAAAGACGAAATATCAAACCGCGTAAGCGCCGCGTCGACGTCTAACGCGTAAACATTGGTACGGAACCCATAGGAATGTAAACCAAAATTATACTTATTGTTAAAATCTCTATAAAATATCTGATAATTTGATGTGCATATGTCTAATGATCATTTTTGACCGCCAAATGGCATTTTTTTTTTACTTTTTCATTAGATCTCCGAAACCGCTAGACCTGCCTTTATGAAAATTTGATCGATTCTTCACCTTGTCAATATATGTTTTTTGAATTATTAAAATCGGACGCTCCGTTCTCTTAAAAACTGAGTTACCGTTTTCGGCACTTTTTGCCCCGTATCTTCGGAACGGCTAGACCTGACTTTGCCAAAAACTAATCAGCACGTCTCCCTATCAATACGAATCGAATGCTTTTTGAATTATTCAAATCGGTTGATCGGTGTTCCCGAAATCGTCGACGAAAATTTGTATCCGCACATACATACACACACGCACACACACACACACACATACATCCATTTTTTTTAAGGTATGCCAAAATATTCAGAAACCTTTGAAACGTCGAGAAATGCAAAAATTTTCATTTTCGATTTTTTTGCGATTACTATAACTTGCCCTACGGGAAGTTAATTATCTAGTGTTCAATCCCATAAGCTCAAACCTGCGAAAGATTAAATTAACTATTGGGCATAATTGACAAAAAATTGCAAGCTGATTTAGTTAAAACGAGACTTGTTAAAAACTGAAGCAAAAATAAAGAATGAGGAGTCAGTGCCTAAAAAATGGCATGTTCATACCGAGAAATTGAATTGTAACTTTTGCTTTTATTGCAAATGTTTCGCTTCTGATAAGTTTTGAATGTTGAAGACATGCATGGTTAGGGTTATGGAAATGGAGCAAATGTGAAAAATGAAAGCAAAATGTACTTAGGAACAAAAATCTTTAAACTTTTTTTATACATAATTTATTTATTAACTATGCAGAAATAATACAGATAAAAATATAATTTGTTTGTTTCAGTACAGTAAAGGGAATATGTAATTTCTTTGCATCTTTTACTAACTTTGGACAATACTTTAAAAATACGTTAAAAGTTTAACTTTTAACAACAATCTGATACTTTGAATCTGATGGGAAGGTAAAGCTGAATACAATTCGGCTCTTACGATACCAATAAGGAGAAGTATACGATGCAATTTTGGATATTGTAAATAATAAAAAAATAAATTAAAATAAAATTTAATTTAAAACATAAAATACGAATGTTATGTTTAAAAACTAAAAACTATTCTTTTTTTGCTCTTTTGGCGTGATTTGCTCTATAGAATAAATCGCATAATAAATAAGTTAAATGTTTCAAAACCAAAATATTAATATTACACCTACGTCAGAAATAATTGAAAATTTAAAAATATTTGATTATGATCAACCCGCGAATCGCCTCGATTTTTTAAATAAATTTAAAATCAATGTATAATTTAAAATCAGCGTATATAGCCTTTAGATTATATCTAAATTTTTGTGCACTAAAGTGTGTCCACAAAAATCCAGAAAAATTAATTTAAAAAAATAAAGTAAATGTTTATATAATTTTAATGAAAAACTGATAAAACAGTTGAAATCATTGGGGGGGGGGGGCGCTAGAACAAATCTTGCATGCGGGCGCTGAGGACCCCAGGACCGGCCCTGTATATATATATCTTATATATAAAATTCTTCTGTACGGGTGTAAGTCGAGCTACTCCTCCTAAATGATTATTCGGATTCGGATAAATCTTTCTTAAGTTTGTTAAGGGAATTATTAGGATGTGAATGATCCTAAAAATATAGTAATATTGTAGAAATAAATGAAAAAAAAATGGCAAAAACGACATGTCATTGTTTGACATTGAAAATATTTGAGACATTGTTTGGCATTGAAAACAAATAAGAACTGCCATCTGCCAAAAATTTTAATTCATTTATGAGCCTAGACAATATTAGAATATATTAAATTCATGAGTATGAATAAGAAAAATGTAATGTCTACATTATTGTTGCCGAAAAGCAGCTGAGATGTGCCAGAAATTAAAATAAGATACAATATACAATTGGCAGATAAAATCAAATCAATTCAATTTGACATTATAATTTTTTAAATTTATGCAAGTCGTATTTTGCTTTACTTTATTAAATTATTTCACAATATAAAAAATAAATTTACTTATTCAAAAAAATATTTAGAACTTTCATTGTGTCAAAAATTCTTTTGTTTGGATATGAAATATTTAGTTAGTTGGTCAAGATTGAATGATACATATATGAACAGGATTTGACAAATAAATTCAATTAAAATATAAAATTAAGTAATAATCAGGGCTAGTACTACCTTGAATGGGATGCATGCGAAAAAGCGCACGTCTTGGGGGGCTTCAACACAATATTCGGATATGAAATTTTTAATATAGTTTTAACTTCTCGTAGGGTAAGTTATCGTAATCGTCCAAAAATCGAAATTGAAATTTTTTACATTTCTTTACGTTTTGAAGGTTTCTGAACATTTTGGCATACCTCAGAAAAAATGGATGTGTGTGTGTGAGAGAGAGAGTGTGTGTTTGTGTGTGTTTTGTATGTCCGCATTTTTTCATCCACATTTTCGGGCGTACGGATCAACCGATTTGAATGGTTAAAAAAACTGGATTTTTTTCGCTATTTTCAATATCTTATGTCCTTTTCACTATAATCCAGTAATCCGACCAGTTCACTAAGCCGACACCCTTTGGTTTTTAATAGTGTCGTATTAGCGGAATTCTACTGTTTATATATGCGTGTGAGTATGTGTGTGTGTATTCGTATATGTATGTGTATGTATGTATACATTGCGCAGTTTTTCGATAATAAAACCATCAATCACTTATTAGTTTTGGCCAGAGTGCTTGCTGCACATATAGTGCTTTTTTCGAGTCCAAAATACAATATTTCTATTCCCACTATCACAAATTACACCGATAGACGATGACATTTAAATGTGTAACTAATGACGTCTCACGCAGCAATATTGCCGGACATTGATCCGGCTGATTATTGCTTACTTAGCAACATTAAAAATTACTTTGAAGAAAAAAACATGTTCTATAAACGTAGAAACGGTACATAAGTTGTTTATTCTTTTATTAGCGAATCGTTACTAATAAATAAACCTAGCATACTGCATAAAAACTGCAATAATATTAATATGATTACTCATTAGTTATGTGATTATAATTATTTTCACAATTTCAATTATTTTTTCACGTTTATTTGCTTTTAATCTCGTTCATGATTTTGTTTGAATTAAAATATGATGTATGATGTATCATTCCAAGATTTGTCATTAGTATAAACAATTTATGTGAAAATACTACTTTTCGGAAATGGACTTTTACGAGGAAATTTTAACAATCAAATAAACCACTTGATATTGTTATAAAAAAAGATAATCTAGGGCTTGGCAGGCTCTATTTTCTGCGCAAATTGTGTCAATAGTGCAATATGAAATTTTCACACCTCTACATCACTTTATCAGATTTAAGTATTTGCTAATATATAAAAATTAGATAATTATAAGCTTTTTGATACATTATATTCAAGAATCGTTTTAATATTAATTGCGCGATCTGATAACATTTTAATAGAGGAAAGTCACCTAATATAAAATACCATTTTGTTTTTGGGATATAAAAAAACTTCATATTAATTGAATTAGTTTAATGTTTTTACATTTATATGAAGTATTTAACAGCCTTTAATTCAATATATTAGTTATTAAATTGAAATCTAACAAAAAAAA